AATTCATTAATATTTGTAGGGACTCAGACCTAAAATGTATTACCCTGACTTGTTCGGCAGTTAAAGTATTCAACTGAAATTTCCGGATCTTCAGTAGAGAACAACTTGGATGCAGTCTTTTTAGCTAACTTTGGATCTTCATAACGAGCACTTGCTATATCCCACGCTCTTGATATAAGCCTGGACACATAACTCTCATGAAAACCACTGTACATGCACTACGTGTTCATTCCATGTCTGGTTTCATCAAGATAATTTGGCATATGAATCCAATCTTTTCTACGAGATATATGAAAACCACATGACTCAAAAGCTAAATATCGATAAGAGTTCAGTAAGAATGACCTTGGCTCTAACAATTGCAGCAAACGGTGGCGCCTCTCTTCAGGGATATCTTCAATCTTTTTCCTGTATAGTATCAACTCTATTATATAGTTATTTTATTGTTATATAAGATGCCAGATAAAATCTAAAGTTAAATGCATGATTAGAGTTAGTATAAGTCAAATTAACAGTGCCATTTTATCCTCTTGCTTTGAGATAAACAACAGCGTTTATCAACAGGTAATCGAATAGCACACCAATTGCAGAGCAAACGCAAGACTATACTAAACTGAAGCTGCAGCATATTACCTAATCAAATTCCATGCTGTATAATATAGCTACCACTAGTGTGTTGTGACTAGTTTAACTATGCTACCCATCTACTTAGGCTGAATCAATGCTAGAACTCAATCGACCAAAGCAGACTAACCAGAGATAAGCAGCCGGGTTATACGAAGCAGGGTCCAATGGAATCAACTCCTTGGGAGGATCAAGAAACGTCACAACATCAGATTCATCAACGTAAATCCTTTTACCAGTGGGAAGAGTTTCATAGGGTTTTTCATCCCATGGAGATGCATATCCTCTCCCTCCATGAACCGCCAGAACCACACCACGAGACAACCCTGGAAAATCCAAAATCTCATTAAACCCAATTAACCATCCTTCACATTTCCGAACTCGTAACCATTTTCGCATCGACCAAGTTTCTAGAAATGTGAATTTCTCCCAAAAAAAAACACAGTATGTGAAAGAGAAGAGCTTAGCTCACTGTTCGACAGAGGAAAACCGAGCTGCGGCTTTACATTCCGGCGAATTAAGCCCAGAACCGCCGGAAAAACCACCGGAGTCCGAATCAGCAAACTCTCCCCCACCGCCCCTATCGTCATCTCCGGCCAGATGAAAAAAAATCTCCGAATAATTTTGTTTCTTACTTTTAATTAAATAAAAGAGAAACTGATAATATTACTCACGATTGAATCGATATTACAACCACGGTTTTGAATTTTAAGGGCCTTCATATTTGGGCTTAAGATAGGCCCATATTTACATTATCCGCCCAGTTACATAAGTTAAACCAAAAACACTATAAATAACAAACATTCTCACACTTGTCTTTCTTGCTGCTTAACAAGATTTACCGAACTGATTCAGATGAGCTTCTTACAAGACCTTTCGCATCGCACAACAGTTTCACCACATCTCTCATCGTCGGCCTCCTTGTCGGATCATTCTCAGTACAGCTCAGTGCTAGTTCCGTCACTTGAATCACTTGTTCCCTAAGATTCGAATCCAGAAGCTCGTCCACGAGAATCGGATCGACGATTGTTGTTACCATGTCCTCGACATTGTTGCTGCTCAAGACAGATCTGACCCAGCTTACTATATCTGTGTTGTCTGGGAAGTATTTGTCCACTGCTCTCTTCCTCGTTACCAGCTCGAGCAACACAACTCCGTAACTGTAGACATCGGATTCTCTTCCCCTCACGGTTTTAAAAGCGTTTTCTGCACAGAGAGAATGGCCCAAAAGGACAAAGATATAGAGTATCTGTTACAAACAAGCTCATAAATTTAACCGATTCCTAACAGAATTATTAACCGGGAACTAACTCGGATAAAACTAGACTATACCAAGTTTAATATGTGTAATGAGATGATGTGTTACCTGGTGCGATGTACCCGGTGGTGCCTGTAACAGTCGCAGTTGAAACAGTTGAGTCATCAAGAAGGCGAGCCAAACCGAAATCACCAATGTGAGGCTCCAAATCCGAGTCCATGAGTATGTTCTCTGGTTTTATGTCGCGATGAACAATCGGAGGATGGCAGTCATAGTGTAGATAGGCCAGTCCGTGAGCGACCCCGAGCGCTACGTTGTACCGTGCAGACCAGTCTAGGACATTTTCTTTTGGGCTAACACCGTGGAGAACGTCGTATAGGCTTCCTTTGGGCATGTATCTATACAGCATCAAACCGTCATCTTTCCTCAGCCAAAACCCTTCTAACTTAATCAGATTCCTGTGCCTGACTTTCCCGATTGTCTCGATCTCCCTCATCATACTCTGGTTTGCGCGGATGTGAGATGCGAAGATGAGTCTTTTCACGGCGTAGACCTTACCTGATCCCATAGATGCTCTGTAGACAATTCCGTGAGCTCCTCTTCCAATGATGTACTTCTCGTTTAGATTGTCAGTTGCTGCAAGAACTTTGTTCAGCAACAAAGACGGGCCTTCCTCGGTAAAGACGTAAGCATCTTTGGCTGGTCTTTCTCTGTGACGGCGTAGGCAAATGAAAACAAGAGCAAGAATCAACCCCAGGACGAATAAAGAGGACAAGACTGCTATGAGGGCGATTTTCCAGGTGCTGAGGCCACTCTTCCCGTTTCTAGATAGATCGTCGCAGTACTTTAACTCGCTGCGGCTATTGTTGCCAACGGGGAAGGAATGTGGAATGCAGAGGTTGGGATTTCCTGAAAATGACGACGGGTCAGAGATGAACTGATCCTTCAATTTTTCCGGTAATGGACCGGTGAACTGGTTGTTCGAGACATCAGCGTGAAGCAATGAGGTAAGATCTTCAAGAACCGATAAAGAGCCTGTCAACTTGTTGTTGGATATGTTGAGTCGTGTTAGTCTGTCAAGATCCCCCAACTTGACTGGAATATCACCTGTTAATCCGTTTCCACTGAGGTCCAAACCATAGATCAGATTCTCTAATGACCCAAGCGACGAAGGAATCTCACCACCAAAAGCATTTCGAGCAATCTGCAGATCTGCCAGCTTTACAAGCTCAGCCAAAAACGGTGGAATGCCTCCAGAAAACCGGTTATCGCTGAGAACCAAAGTGGCCACACCTTTCCAGGCACTGAAGCTTGAGGGAATTGTACCGTTTAATGAGTTGAACCCAACATCAAAACGCTCAATATTCACGCAGTTAGATAGCTGAGATGGTAGAGAGCCTGCTAGGAGATTATGCGAAAGATTCAGGTATCCGAGGCTATGTAGATTCCCAAGTTGTGGAGGTATCTGTCCCGTGAGTTTGTTTCGAGACAGGTTGATGCTCGAGAGATTCTTACAGCTTCCGAGGCTGTGCGGGATTGGTCCTTCGAAGTTGTTGCTATTGAGATCAAGAAATGAAAGGCTATGATCCTGAGAAAACTCAGGAAGAAGACCTGTAAGATTATTTTCTCTGAGGATGAATCTCCTGACGCTCTTACAGTGAGCAATAGAAGTCGGTATTTTACCGTGAAGCAGATTAGAACCCAAATTGAGCACAGTTAGCTTCTTTCCATGGCATAGATTCGGCGGTATCTCTCCGGTAAGTTTGTTACTAATAAAATCCACCTGTTCTAAGCTGCTGTTCACACCTAGACCCGGTGGTACCGCTCCATAAAAGCTGTTGTTGAAGAGCGTAACGATCTTTAGATGCTTCAGCTCCGTCATTTCCACAGGTAGTATCCCTGTGAGATTGTTTTGATAAACTAGCAACAACCCAAGACTCTGAATCTTCCAAATCTCGATAGGGATCTCACCCGAAAACCGGTTCTCGAAAAGCTCAAGACTTTCTAGCTTCTTGAGCTTACCCAACGTACTCGGTATCTCACCTCCAAGCTGGTTATTGTTCAGCTTCAACAAGGTCATGCTACTGCAGTTCCCCAGCTCCGCGGGAATACTCCCAGAGAGACGATTTTCAGAGAGGTTAAGCACCGTAAGATTCTTTAACATACCCAATGATGAAGGGATTGTACCAGACAAGTTACCACTCACAATGACTAAAGCGTCAAGGCTACTGCAATTCCCCAATTCAGGAGGGACACCACCTTCAAATTGATTGTATGACAAGTCTAAAGTCACCAATTTCCTGCAATTTGTTGAACCAAGACGAACAGGCCCTCGTAAACTGTTGTTACCAACAAAGATGTCAGTGAGATTCTCCAAAAGATTGAGACTTTCAGGCAACGAACCAACTAACTTGTTCTTGTGTAAATACAACATCTCCAGCTTACTGCAGTTCCCAATCGACTCAGGGATGTTACCATAAAACTGATTCTCAAACAAACGCAGATCCGTAATCTCCTTAGCCTCACCAACACTTTGAGGAATCGGACCGGTTAGATTGTTATACTCAACATGAAAAATCTGCAAAGTCGGAATTCGAAACAAGGATTCAGGTAGCTCACCAGTGAGGAAGTTTTCGTAAAGATAAAGCTCCACCAAATTCTTCAAGTTACCGAGAGTATCTGGGATCTTACCAGAGAATCCGTTTTCAGACAAATCAAGATCCACTAGTGAAGTACAGTTTCCTAAACTTGAAGGTATGATTCCAGTGAAATTGTTAGTACTCAGATCCAAAGTCTGCAAACTCTTGAGCTCTCCAATTTCAGGACCCAATTGGCCTGAAACGTTAGACTGAATAAAGCTGAGAGACACAACATTTCTAGATTTGTCACAAGTGATACCAAACCATTTACATGGAGTGGTTTCAGATGCGTTTAACTTCCATGTCGAAGTTACTTGTGGTGGTACTTTGTCCAAATGCTTTAGAAGCGAGAGTAGAGTTAACCCATCTGAGTTTAGACAAGAAACTGTAGTGGTAGAGACAAAGAGACAGAAAAGCAAAAGAATTTCGAACAACCCAAGATTCTTCATCTGAGATTAAAGATCAAGAATCATTACCAGTATCAAATCAAGACTGAGAATTTGAAGCTCGCATGAGAGAGAAAAGGAAGAAAAAGGACAGAACTTGATTGATGGGTATTAACTTATACTTGATCTGATTCTTTCCGCTTTATATGACGAGAAGTTTGGCCGGTATTACAAGACAAACACGATTGTGAACCTCACATTCAACGCGTTCTCATTTTCGCACGCCGTTTCTTCCTCGAGTCTTCTTTATTTCCGTATTCAGACACACGTGCTTTAGAAAGAAAGTCTTCTCTGTTTTCTTTGATTCTCATTAAAAAAACGTGAAATATTTTGGCGTATTATAACACGATGTCGTTTTAGATGTTGCCAAAGAAGAGTAAGAAACCGTTGACAATAAGAAACGTAATCAAACAAAACATTTCATTAATTAATTGGATTCTATTGTCGATTTACAGTTTGGTGGATGCTCATTTAGTGGAGCATGAGGTAGGTTTGTGTCCATTCTTCAATTTGGTAACAACCCAATACCAAACATTAAATAATAGTTTGTAAATGACTAAATGTTGTGTTTGAGTCACTGTCTAAGTTTAAATATAATAAAAATACGTGTATAAGATTATAAGACTCGATTTGTTAATTGATAAGAACAGCTAAACGATAAACTAGAGCGGAACAAATTTGACTTTCAAAGTTGAGACTAACAACATAATAAAACTATAAAAGGAAGAAGAAAATGAAATAATGATTAAGCCAAACAAAATGTAACTTAATAACTACCTAATAATTGATGTTGGTTGTCATTATGCTGCGGAATGGATGAATTGAAAACGTGATTTCGCGAAAATATCGATATGTTTACACGATGTGAGAAAGTACCAGCAAATTTTGAGTCGATGCTTTTTTTTTTAAGCAATCTGATATCCACATCATGTATATAATAAATTTGGATCTAATCAACCGAAACTTTTGTGTTATATTAATTAAAAATATATTTTAAGTATAATCTGTAATATGTCTATTTTTGTATCGAAATCAAAGATATACAACACTTAGTTTACACTATACATTATCATTACGTAGTAAAATATATATACATTTACACTACATTTTCATTACGTAGTAAAATATAATTGGAAATGTATGTTTAATCCTGATTTCTGTCTAGTTTATAATAAAGTTCAACTAAACTGTTGTTTTCTTTTTCTCTAAGAGCGGCGGTCCCGCGGAATGACTCCTGAAAACCGGTTTCCGGAGAGAACCAAAGTGGTTAACTATTTCCAGTTACTAAACTTTGAAGGAACTGTACCGTGTAATAAGTTAAACCCAAGATTCAGGTGACTAAGGTGTTGTAGATTCCCAAGTTCTTGAGGTATCTGTCCAGTGAGTTTGTTTCGAGACAGAATGATGGTCGTGAGATTCCTACAGCTCCCGAGGCTTCGAGGGATTGGTCCTTCGAAGTTGTTGCTATTGAAGTCGGGAAAAGAAAGATCATGATTCTGAGAAAACTCAGGAAGAGGGCCTGAAAGGTTGTTTTCTCTAAGGATGAATCTGCTTAGAGTCTTGCACTGACCAACAGATGTTGGGATTTTTCCGTGAAGCCGATTTGATCCTAAGTTAAACACTGTCAACATCTTTCTATGGCAGAGATTTGGCGGTATCTCTCCTGTGAATTTGTTACCAATGAAATCCACAATCTCTAAGTTGCTATTCAGACCTAAACCGGGTGATATTACTCCATTAAAGCTGTTGTTGAAGAGCGTAACGATCTTTAGATTCTTGAGCTCAGCTATTTCCAGAGGTAGTTTTCCTGTGAGATTGTTTTTATAAACTAGCAACTGTGTAAGACTCTGAATCATCCAGATCTCGATAGGAATCTCACCCGAAAATCGGTCGGTTTTCGAAAAGCTCCAGACTTTCTAGCTTCTTTAGCTTACCTAATGCACTTGGTATCCTGCCTCCAAGCTGGTTATCGTTGAGCTTCAATGTGTTTAAGTTGGTGCAGTCTCCGATTTCCGCAGGGATACTTTCAGAGAGACGATTCTCGGAAAGGTTGAGAACTGTGAGATTCTTCAACATACCCAATGATGAAGGGATTGTACCTGATAAGTTGCTTTTCACAATGACTAAAGCGTCAAGGCTACTGCAACTACCCAATTCAGGAGGGACACCGCCTTCGAATTGATTGTATGACAAATCTAAAGTCACCAAATTCCTGCATTTGGTTGAACCAAATCGAACTGTTCCTCGTAGGCTGTTGTTAGCAACAAACAGGTCAGTGAGATTCTCCAGAAGGTTGAGACTTGCAGGCAATGAACCAACTAACTTGTTCTTGTGCAAATACAAAATCTCCAGCTTACTGCAGTTTCCAATTGACTCAGGGATTGTACCGGAAAACTGATTGTCGAACAAACGCAGATCCAGAAGCTCCTTAGCCTCACCAACAGTTTGAGGGATTAAACCAGTTAGGTTGTTATGCTCAACATGCAGATAATTCAGCGCCGGAATTTGAAACTAGGATTTAGGCAATTCGCCGGTGAAGAAGTTGTTGTAAAGATAAAGATCAGCCAAGCTCTTCAAGCTACCAAGAGTATCTGGGATCTTACCAGAGAACCCATTTCCAGACAAATCTATATACACCAGTGAGCTACAGTTTCCTAAACTGGAAGATATGAACCCAGAGAAATTGTTTGAGCTCATATCCAAAATCTCTAAGCTTTTGAGCTCCCTGATTTCAGGACCCAATTGGCCTGAAACCTCTGAGCCGGTGAAGTTGAGAGATGTAACCTTCTTGGAATCATCACAGATGATACCAAACCAGTTACATGGAGTCGCCTCAGATGCATTTGTCTTCCATGTTGAAGTTAATTCTGGTGGCACTTTGTCGAAATGCTTCCGAAGAGAGAGTAGAGTTAACCCATCTGAGTTTAGACAAGAAACAGAAACTATACGGGTCGAGACAAAGAGGGAGAAAAACAGGAGAATTCCAAACAAGCCAAGATTCTTCATCTGTGACTTAAGGATCAAGAAACATGCCCAGTATCAATCAATATTGAAATTTGAAGCTCTCACCAAAATGGAGGGCAAGAAGAGAGAGAAAAGGATAGAATTTAATTGAAGGGTATTGACTGATATTGATCTATCTGATCGATGGCATTATTAGAAAGAAACAAGCAAACGCTAGCTTTGGGTTTTGGACACCTTTCAATGAATAGAATGTCAACAAGAGAAGTTGATAAGTTGGGAAAGAGATAACCGTTGTACAGAAAATTAAGGAGAAAGGTAAATACGGAGTATATTCTAGCCTAAATTGTTTATATTCCTAAAATAGTTGCTTTTGTAATTTCCTATACTATTCATGGTTTACGATTCAGTTGGACTGAATAATAGAAACATTTTCAAACTAGCATTTATCATTCTCGTTGACATTTCTCAAACTCTCTACCAATATTGCACATATACAGGTGTAAATACATACAATGTTGAGAGACTTTTCAAACTTACTAAAGTGTGAATCCAAGACTTGGCCACCATTTAGCTACGCCAATTAGACGATAGCTCAAGTTCCACATCCTCTTCCCACCAAGTTGCCGCCTGCAACATCATCAGTTTCAGACCTGTTTAAGCTACTTTGTTCACATGCAAGAAACATATAATCACAATCTAGACCAATGTGCTAGACCTTGTATCCTCTGCGTAGGAACTCGAGTGAGCTTCCTTTCTCTTCTTGTAGTCCAAGAACCTGCAACAGCTCTTCCTTCGTCTGTTTACATCCACATATACAAAGGCTTGTTATTTTTTTCAGAGGTTGGGTTAAAACGAATTAACACAAAAGGTTAATGCTTTTAGTGCACATACTTCACCCAGCGTGAAACGAGTAGGGCTTTCTGCAACACATGCAAATGAACCATCAGATTGCTTAAGCATCACTTGCCATGGCCCTGCATATTTTTTTTATATCAGACATAAATAGAGAAAACCATCTCTCCAAGTTCAGGCCACTAGTATTGAGAGTGGTTTTGCTCATCTGATAGAGAGACTGAGGCTAGCATCACATCATGTTCAGTGATCAAGGAAGACGCAATACAGATTGGCACAATTATGTTATATGTATAAAGTTTAGTCCTGGAGAGAATATTTTAGTATATACCAGGATATTGTCGAAAAAGTGCTCCATTGTAGTTCAACACATATGGAGCCACTGCCACTGTCTTAGCCAAACAACACAAACAACTTTGATGCTGCTTCATTTATGTAAGCAACGAAGAAAGGTCCACTGAGAAAATATCATCCTATTGGCAAATTACCTTTGAATACTCTCTGATTCGAATATAAAATACGGGAGTAAATTGAGAAAGAAACCGGAAGTGCAGATCTTTAGGAGGAAAGCCAAGTAGCCCTAGGTCAGCACTGCACTAAAGTTCAGCTGTTACCAGAAGTGAGAAAACCGAGAGAGGTTGCGTTACACATAAAATCGAGGTCTCAATAGAAGCAATACCGTAAGGTATCTAGCTCAAGATTAAACAGAAGAGCTGGGGTTGAACTGGCAAAGGTTTCCTGCAAGTATACCCAATAACTTACTGCTTGCGATGATAAGATGGTATTAAAAAAACTCAAATGAATATATAGCGAGTGAGCGTATCTAAACCAATTTCCATGCTAAGAAAAGAAAGGATAAAAGGATTCCAATACCACAAACTTCTCTATAACAGAGAGTTCTCGGGTGCTGCAATTGATAAATATATAAAGGGTCGGTTGCTCCTTGGGCTCCCAAGAACCTGTAGGTACATATAATCTTCATGAAAAAATGCAATAATCCATCTGTTACATAAGCAAAAATCCTTGGCGAAAAAGATAACTTAGATGCAAAACCTATAATTTTAGCTATACCTTCATTTTCATCTTCAAAATCAAAGTCCAGGGTACTCCTTATGGACCTGAAGAAATTGGAGACAGAAGTACCAGGTACATCATCTAGAGAACCAATACTTATTCCATCAACCTGATGAGAAACACAAAAGAAATCAAGCCGTCGTTAAGGATCAACGTGCTCAATATCTCAGACGGTAACATTTGCAAATGAAGCAAAGTCGAAATATTTATTTCTACCGAATCAAACGCTGCTTTGAAGAGTTTCGAAGCTCTGCGCTTCTCAGGCTTGTCAGGAAAGACCTGAAGCATGTTTGAATTGATATGCATAAGCCAGAAAATAAAAATCAGAAGGATGAGTTGGTAAATAGAGTAATGAAGGAGATAGATTACAATGCAAGCTCTGGTCTCTATTTTCTCCTGAAGTTTCCGTACAACAGTCAAGGCCAATTGTATGTTTGCATCAATAAACTCGTCCGAAGAACCCTATAGAACAAACATTTGCAATTCGAGTTCAATTTTACACAAATGCGTTAACAAAAAACTAAGTCACAATGTGTAACAAGATAAGAATACCTTGTAAGATGAAATGTTGCTGGGCAAAGGCCTACACATGAAACCAAAGAGCAAAAGTCGCCATTATAACCACGAACCCAGAACAATTGAAACAAGAGTAAGAGTAAGCGAATTACGGAAAATCGATCTCCAAGCGAGATTTTGAATCCTGTAGAGCGAAGGCAAGAGAATTTGCGGCGTCAGTGGCTAGAACCTCGTACGATTTGGGCTTGTAAACGGAGACACCTCTCCTAAGGTCGGAGTCAGGCAAAGAAGGAGATGATGAGAATCCGCCGCTGCTTGCGGCGGCTGCGCATCTGATTCTGTTGGCTAGAATCGACGGAGAAGAGAAGAGCGCCGGTAACATCGCCATCGCCATTTTTG